CTTCAAATAGCGCAGCCGACATGAGACGTGCCTCACTGAGTGCTGTGGCGGCGGTCTGACAGGGCGTCTCGCAGCATCTGTCGCATGCGCTCGGCCTCATCATCCTCCCCATCATCCTCCTCGTCCCTCCTCCTCGTCCTCCTCCTCGTCCCTCGCCTCCTTCTCCGACTCCTCCTCCCCCTCGCCCCACCCCCTTCTCCAACGGGTGGCTGTTTATGTTCGGGCCCGTGGCGTTGAGGAGAGTGCTCGCAACAGAAATAGGTGACGCACATCACCACCCGCTCGTTTCACCGATGGCGCCCGAAGTCCCTAAGAGAAAACGACCAGGTGCAATTGCGCAGGCCCGCGCGGGCCCCGAGATGGCCGCAGGCGGGCCCCAAGCAAACAGTGGACGGCCTGAAACTCGCATCGGAAATCGTTCGAAGGGCACCCCCCCCCAACGCCCATGCAAGCATTCTCTTCCAATCCCCTCGCAGCGTGACCGTTTACACGCATGATCTAGACGTTATCCGTTGCATCGTTCCTGGATGTGCTGGCATTGTTACGCGAGACCCCTAGAGGCTGTTCTGTCATACAGTATGCTGCAATTCATTTCGACTGTTCAAGGCAGACCACAGCTGGCAACAGTGCGCAGTGCCCCGCCCAGACGGCGAGGGCAACCAGGCGGCGCAATGGCCGCCACAAAAACATTGTTCAAGGGCAGACGTCAGGCTCGCTGTCCTCGCCAGGGCGGCGCGGCCTCTCGCGGAGCAGCAGGTCCGCGGCGCGGGGGCCCATGCCCTGAAACGCTGCCCGAGCAGCCGACCGCACCTCCTTGGAAACCCAGTTGCACGTCACGTGCGTCTGCTGGCTCCCGAAGTCGGCGTGCCTCTGCAGCCAGGCGACCAAGAAGCCGATGGGCCGCCCCTGCTGCGGCCTGGCTCCTGCATTGCATGTCCTGTGTTTTCTGCACTTCGCATGTCCTGGGCTCCTGCACTCTGCAATGATGTCATTCTTCTTTGCATTGTAGACGATCCTGCCGCCCGCCACCTCGATGAAGTACATCGCTGGCTCCACTGGCGCGCCGCCAGCAGGCGGCGGCGCTGGCGGAGGCGGCGGCGGCGCGGCATCGCTAGAAGATGCAGAGTGCTCGCCGCCGCCAGGAAGGTCGCCATCAGAATCGCTCGACCTCCCAGGGTCGATGATGCCATGGAGGTCGGCGGAGTCACTAGAACCATCCGAAGACGAACTGGAAGAGGATGAAGGCGCTTCGCCAGCTGGTTCCACGCCACTGCCATCGAACTTCGCGACAAGTGGCTCACCGTGAACGTCGACCACGTCACCTGGGAAGCCACGGTCGCCGACCAGGCTGGCAGAAGGTGGCGCCACCCCGCAAGCGCACCTGAACTCTAAACAGGGCCGAAGGTGCCAATCGCAGGCACCAGGGAGAGCCTAACACCGATGCCCCAGAGGATTTGCGCATGTCCAGCGGCCGTGCATGGGGGCCCATACAGGACACTAAAACATGAAAGCTGTTTGTGGGGGGTGCGCTTGCGAAGCAACGCCACTCTGCTGGGCCCAACGGCGGCCCTGGCTCACCGTCCTCGGCGTCCATGCCGCTTGCGCTGCCGCCACCTGCATCACCAACGCTACCAGCAACGGCGTCGTCTCCAGGGAGTTCGCGTCCATGGTCAGGCTGTTCGTCGCCATCGTCCTCGTCTGACTTGTGGTCCTCGTCGCAGTCCTGCTTGACGTTCTCGATCGGCTCGATGGAGTGCCACCCAGACTTCACGTCTGCGTCCTTCTTAGGGTGCTTGATCTGTTTTTTCCTCCACTTCGCCCACGGCGGCTTCCAGATGACCCTGCACGTCGGGACGCCTGGCTGTTCGTCATCTTCCAGCAAGTGCACGTCGACGCAGTTCGGCACGAACGTGCCGATCGGGCTGACCCTCACGTCCAAGTGGTACACGCACACAGACCACCGAAGATCCCTGTCGAAGTCTTTGAACGCCTGCCACGGCGTCGCGAACTGTACAGTGGCCTCTAATCGATGGATGCTCACCCCGATGCTCGGATGCATCGGACCCGTCGGGCCGCGCAAGGTCTGAAAGCACGACCGCCATGGCGATAAGCTGTGGCTGCCGGTGTGCAGCCACATGTCGTCGACGATTGGCAGCCGCTCGACAAGGCCGTTCGTGGCGACATCGATGTCCTCATCGTCGTCAGTAGGCTGGCGCTGCGCGAAGACGTACACACAGATGTAGCCGTGGGCCAAGCTCTCTGTTCTGATGCGCCCGACTGGGCACGCCAGCTTCACAGCAGCATCGAAGTGATCCACGAACTTCTGGACCTCTAGCCCAGCGCCCTTGCACACGCACATGCTTGCAAACGTACAAGCTGAGATGCCACTGCCACTGCAATCGTTCTCGTCCCACTCAGGGCGCGGCTGGTGGTCGATCGTGTCGTGAATGTCGTCCCAGTACTTTGCCAGGGCGGCGAAGATGTCGGGGATGATGGATCGATGCACCGAAAGCCCTCTGGCAACCCGCTCTAAGACGCCCACGGGCTCCCATTCGAAGAGCTGGAAACCCTGGCGCGGAGGAACAACGGGGAGGAACTCGTTGAGTCTCGCCTTGATCTCCGACTCGTGGGACAAGCACTTCTCCCTCGCCGCCGCGCCATCCTCCGAACACCACTTCGACACGACGTCGTTGATCAAGGCCTTGTCGGAGGCGCGCCAAGCCCGCTCAGCGCGCTCAAGCTGCCGACAGTCTGCCATCTCCGTGAGGTGCTTGGGGTTCGACGAGGCGATGCCGATGATGCCGTCGTAGGTGGCCACTGCGACGTCGCCCTGAATCCCGCCAGCCGAGTTCAGCAACGCAGCGCGCTTGCTCTCTGACAGGTCCTGAACTCGACGCGCAAGGTCAGCCTTCCTAGCCCGCGCCTCGAGTGAGCGCGAGCTCCCTCCGAACGGAGTCTTATTGCCAGCACGTGCTGCTCTGGTAGCGGCCTGTCCCACTTCCATGAGCACGCTCTTCTGCTCGGCGGACAACGCCGCGTACGCCCGCCCGAGCTCCGCGAAGTCGGGGGGGCCCGTCCTGCCCAGCGTCTGCTGTCGAACGAAGGCCCGCCAAGCGCCTCCGAAGCCGCGGTAGCGCCTCCTGGCTGGAAACTTCTTGCTGGCCGCCTGCTGCACCGTTGTCCTGATCACGTGACGCCCAGGCCCGCTGCGCAGCCGCTGCCGCCGCGTGCGGAACCGCTGGCATGTCCTCAGTGCTGACAGGCGCCTGATGTGCATCGGGTGGGTCTGCACGCCCAGCGCGGCGAGGCTCCGTCGGATGGCAGCGTGGCTGGACTCGATGCTGCAAGTCTCACGCCTGATGCTGAGGGCTGCGTGCATCAGCTCAGCGTTGAGGTCTGGGTTGAGCAAGCCCTGATCGGTCTTCGCGTACTTCTCGATCAACGCCTTGCTCCACTCGTCCTTCATGTCGTCGCAGTCGTTCTCGATGTCGGCCGCGCTCCCCCCGCCCCCGCCCAGCAGCGTGAACATCTTGAAGGGGTGCATGGAGTGAACGACGGTGAGCTCGTGGCAGAGGCAGCCGATCTCGCCCAGCATCACGAACGCCAACGTGCGAAGGTCACGCGTCCTGAGCCCAGGCGTGATGATGTCCCACGGCCCCTCGGTCAGGATGAGGGCCCTCAGGTCCTGGAAGAACTCGCCTTCGAACACCTGCTTGCACGCGGCGACCATTGGGAGCAGCTCGTCGGTGCAGTCACCGCACCTCCCCGCCGCAGCCTGGACCTTGAGGTACTGCATCCGGCCGTCGTGCTTGACGCCAGCGTGGTCCAAGTACTTGGACATGATCTTTCTCAGCGGCTCCAGGACCCTCCTGATCACCGTGAGCTTCGCGCCAGCGTTGCCATGGTGCAACCACCTGGCGCCCCAATACCGATGGATCGAGTCCTCCTTCTTGCGATCCTCGTCGGCGCTGGTCTTGCGGGCGCCGCCGCAGGGGGCGCGCTCGGGCTCCTGCTCCGAGCTGGCCGCTGGTGCGCCGCCACCTGCGGCATGGCCCGCCATGTCAACGCCTGGCTGGTTCTCCAAGCGCAGCGCGTCCTCGAGCGTGCTGCTGTCCGTGAGCTGGTAGGTCTTCGAAGGCCGAAGGGGGTGCAAGTAAAAACGTGCCAGCGGCCACCCCTTCGCATGAGCCCCACGAGGGCCCTCTCTAGCCCTGGACTGGGCGGGAACGGATGAGGTTTGCGTTCGACTGGGGAGGGCGGCCAGCCCGAACACCTACTGTGACTTCTAGTTTCCGATGCAGTCGCCACCACCATACCGTCATCATGTTCGGCATCACGTCCGTCGTCGCCGTCGCTCCTCACGCCGTCCTCACTGCCCCCCCATCCCACTCCTCCAGTCCGACGCTGGCCTAACCTCCCTTCATTCTCCTCCTCGCGCTGCCCCCCCCCTAACCCAGGTAGGACATTGCCCGCGGGGGAGGGGGGTGCACGAGGCTGAACTAGACGATGGCTCGGTCGCAACTGGCACGGTTTTAACATCAAATGCACCCCCCCCAACAAAAAACCACCAAACCTTCACGCGCGACCACTTGAGGAAGACGCGGGTCAGCAAGCCGTGGCACGACTCCAAGACGCCCATCCAATCGACGCTGTGGTCGAAGCCCGTCCACCTCGAACTCGGCCAAACCCTTGGATCTGTTGCCGCGACCGCCGCCACGAAGAGCGTCGTGAACTTCGACGCGCAATCGGCACGGGACATGCAGCAGCCGTCGCAAAAGTGCTCCACACAGCCCCTTGGGTAAAACTCATGGCGCGCCCACCCCCTACCCCCCCCCCCCAGCTACCGCGACCCAGGTGCCCAAACCCCTCGCCCGAACACCCGAGGCCACGGTCGAGCCTGGAAGCCGTCCAAAACTACACATAGAACACCCGACATCCATAATGGCGGCTGCATGCTATGAGCAGACCGCACGTTTTACACATTAGAGGTTGGGGGGGCGCTATGGGGGTGGGTGCGCCGCGAGCTTGTGAACCCAATGCCTCTTGGCCCAGTCCCCGTTCGCCAGCGAGAGGATGACGACGCGACGAAGACGCCGATGGGCCGACGTCTCCGACAAGAAGAGGTCCAAGCACTTGGTGCTGCGGGCGACGTCCACAGGCGAAGGCCGCATGTCGCAGCGGTACTGCAACGTGTCCTGCAGCTCTTGTCGGAGCGCTGCCCTGAACGAGCGCATGCCGTCCTGCCAGCGCAGCGCCTTCGCCGCGTGCACCATGCAGCTGGTGTCGGCCTTCACGTGGTGGAACGCGCACGCGTGCCACTTGAAGACCACGTGCACCTCGCACTTGACCTTCAACGTGCTGCTCCGACCCGCCTCCTCACGGGCGAAATTGCGCTCCATCCTGGTGATCCCGCTCGCGCCGTCCGTGCAAACCAGCCGCTGTCGTCGGCCGAACTGCTGCAGCACGTCGTCGTCTATCGGCGGGCGGCTGGCCTTGAGCGCGTCGTAGAGCACCTCGCCTGTGGTCCTGCTCAGCGACTGGACGGGCGTCTCCAGCGGCACGCGCACGCCGACGTACCCGACGTCGGGGAGGTGGTACAGCATCGAGAAGACCCGCTCAGTGTTCAAGATCTTGGCGACGTGCGAGCTCGAGCAGCTGGCGCTGATCGGCACCAGCCTGGGCTGCCCGTCGGCGGGCACGATGGCCGCTGGCATGGCCGAGTCCGCTGCTGCTGCCGCCGCCTTCTCGGTGTCCGTGAGCCTCATGTGCATCGGCGTCTCATCATACCTGACGCTCTCTGACCATGTCAGTGCTCGGCCACCTCGCTCCAAGATGGACCGCGTCAACTGGCGAATCATCCTGCACACGTCCCGATTCTGCACCGACACGCACGCGGCGGCAACAGCGCGCAGGATGCCATCAGCGCGGCGGCGGCCAACGCCGAGGTTGCTGCATTCCTGGTGGAATGGCAGCGTCGTGCGCTTCTCATCCAGGAAGTACTGCACCACACCACGCTGCGCCGCTGCGACGAAGTCCCGCTCCGTGCGCGAGTTCGCCTCCGCGATCGCGCACGTCTGCTCCACGAGCTGCGCGAGCTCCTCCACTCGAGCCTGGGCCCGCGCCGGCGCCAGCACTGGCGCGCGGGCCACAGCTGCCAAGGCCACCTCCGCGTCGGCATGCGGGACTGGGCCTGCGATGGCGTCGGCGTCCCCGTCGAGCAGCTCCTCCGCGTCGCTGGGCCCGAAGAGCGCCCAGTCGTCCTCGTCGACGACCGCGTCGCGGGCGGCAGCCAGCGCCGCCTCCGCGGCTGGCAGCGGCTGCTCACGCCCACCAGCAGCGACGCGGTGACCCCACGCATCTCGGAGCCGCTTCCGAAGATGCTCGAGCGGGTGCCACGCCGCCTCGGACGCCGCAACCCCGCTACAGCCTCTTCCACTCCTCCTCCTTCCCTCACCTCCCTCTCCCCCCTTCACCTTATCCTCCCCTCGCCTCCTCCTCCTCCTCCTATCCCTCCTCGCCTCATCCTACCTTGCATCCCCATCCTCCTCCTCGCCCTAGCCGTGAAGGCGGCATCCCCATTCTCCTCCTCCCCCTCCTCTCAATCCATCCTCTCATTCATCCCCAGGGGCCTTGCGCCGCGCAGCCACGCTGCCAGCGGGCGCCAGGTCCGCGGGCGTCAGCGCGTGGCCGAACGCGTCCGCGGACCCAGCGCCGTCGGCGGCAGCCGCCACGGCAACCTCCGCCTGAAGGAGTAGGATGAGGGGAGGGTGGGAAGGGGAGGGGGGAAGGTGGTGGGAGAACGCCTCGGCGCCCTCGGCGCTCTCCGCCGACGCCGCGGCGCTGGCCGCCAGCGCGCCCCAGCCGTCGGGCGGGCTGGCGGCGGCCGCCTCGGCGGCTGCGGCGGCGGCAGCCCAGCCCGAGGCGCCGCCATCGGCGGCCTCGGCCGCGGCCTCCGCCACGGAGGCCCACCCAACCCCACCCCCGCTCATGGCGAAGGGGTGGGGCTGGAAGCCAAAATGGCTGGAGAGCACGGGCGGGGGAGGGGGGTGCAAGCTATGTGGTGCAAGCTATGTGGTGCAAGCTATGTGGTGGAGCAAGCGGGGCCATCTACGTGGCGGTAGCTCTGAGGCGCAACCATAGCGCATCGCACGATGAGAACATCATCCAAAAGGCAACTATGTGGTGCAACCGACGGTGCCCAAGCTAAGTGGGGTAAACTACGTGGCCAACACGCGGGGCATGAACTACGAACTGCAATATACATCGTGACACATATGCGGTGCGATCCGCCGCCCCAGCGGGGCCTGTCAGGCTTGAAAACTAAATTCGGTTCCCAATATTCTCTGGCGCCCTAGGAACCTGGAGGGGGAAGTACGCAACCTCAAGGGTCGCTGGAAACATGAAATAAGTAAAGGCATGTGTAACGAACAATAAGAAATGATGTGCGAACAATATGAAGACCGATGCACGAACGACCGAAAAATCATTCGACTACTTGTAGCATGCCAACAACCTGTCGGGAGCTACTTTTTGTTTTTTTGAAGGTACTTTGGGGGCTACTTTGGGAGGTACTTGTTGGGCTCGGTGGGTACTTCTATTCCTATTCCGAAACCTACTTTGGGAGGTACTTTGGCCTTTCTGGGGGACCTGTGGCTGTAGCAGGCATTGCCTTTCATAAGCTTAGAAGAGGGTTGCTCCCTTCGAAGGCGCGTCCTTCGCATGTCCTCTCGCGCCCGTAGCCTGGCTCAAGCCCTTCGGGCTCAAGGCAATTCGGAGTTTCATCGTTTCACCATCCTGCTTTGTACATTTGCGGTCCTTAAATCTTGTTGGAGGCACTCTGGTCGGGGCCACGCCAGTCTTAAAGCGTTGCCCAATATATTCTAATATGACAGACATCCGCCGAGGATCTCGAGGCGACCTCCAAAACGTGCGGCCTCCAACAGGCGTCTGGACAGAGCATTGGATCGCGGCGAAGCACCCGTTGCACCCGCCCATCGAATCGCCCGAACCACGTGCAAAAGCAAGCCCAGGCCAGGACATTGCATCTGTCAGGGCATTCGGAAAAGCCACGCAGTGGCAGCAAGCTCTGTCGGTACTACGGGTTATGGTTTTAAAGAGGATGTATTGCAACGTCTTCAGCTACAGCGCCGGAATCAGCGCGTGCGGGAAGGGCAAGCAGTGGCAGCGGGCCCTGGCGCTGCTGAGCGAGATGTGGGAGGCGAAGCTGGAGCCCAACGTCATCAGCTATAGTGCTGGGATCAGCGCGTGCGAGAAGGGCGAGCAGTGGCAGCGGGCCATGGCGCTGCTGAGCGAGATGTGGGAGGCGAAGCTGGAGCTAGACGTCATCAGCTATACTGCTGGGATCAGCGCGTGCGCGAAGGGCGAGCAATGGCAGCGGGCCCTGGTGCTGCTGAGCGAGATGCGGGATGCGAAGCTGGAGCCCAACGTCATCAGCTATAATGCTGGGATCAGCGCGTGCGAGAAGGGCGAGCAGTGGCAGCGGGCCCTGGCGCTGCTGAGCGAGTATCGGGGAAGGCGAAGCCTGGGCCCACCGTCCAGCTATACGTGCTGGGATCATGCGCGTGCGCGAAGGGCGACAGTGGCAGCGGGCCCTGGCGCTTGCTGAGCGAGTATGTGGTGAGGCGAGACTGGAGTCAACGTCATCAGCTATATTGCTGGGATCGAGCGCGTCGAGAAGGGCACGCAGTGCAGCCGGGCCTGCGCCGCTGAGCGAGATGCGGGAGGCGAAGCTGGAGCCCAACGTCATCACTTATAATGCTGGGATCAGCGCGTGCGAGAAGGGCGAGCAGTGGCAGCGGGCCTTGGCGCTGATCACCGAGATGTGGGAGGCGAAGCTGGAGTCCAACGTCGTCAGCTACAATGCTGGGATCAGCGCGTGGGAGGAGGGCGAGCAGTGGCAGCCGGCGCTGGCGATGCTGAGCGAGATGCGGGAGGCGAAGCTGGAGCCCAACGACATCAGCTACAGCGCTGGGATCAGCGCGTGCGAGAAGGGCGAGCATCCCAGCGGCCATGGCCTGCTGATTGCGCAGATGGGAGGCCGCAGGCTGGAGTCCAACGTCATCACTATAATGCTGGGATCAGCGCGTGCGAGAAGGGCGAGCAGTGGCAAGCGGCGGACGGCCTGGCGCTGCTGAGGCGAGATGTGGGGAGGCGAGGCTGGAGTCCCACGGTCATCTCTACTACATTGCAGGGCCCAGTGCGTGCCAGAAGGGCGCAGGCCCCAATGCACCGAAACCGCCCCAGGCTGGCCCCGGGCCGCCCCGGGCCGCCCAGGCAGGCTCCAGGACATGTCGAGAGGGCGCCCAGAAGCCCCCAAGACGGCCCCGGAGAGCCCAGGCACGCTGAAAGACGGGCCCAAGACGCCCGAGAGTCGCCCCAGACGGCCAAGGGCGTCCAGAACGCCGAAGAGGCCTCCCAGAAGGCCTCCCAAGAGGGCTCCGGCGACAAGAAATCGTTGATTTTATTGTGTTTTTCTATGTTTTCGGCTCCTCGCGTCTTCCGGCTCCCGACGCTCCGAATGACGGCCCAGAAGTCCCCCCGACCGCTCCAAGAAGGCGGCCGAAGAGGACCCCAGAAGCCCAAGACAGCCCAAGAGGCGCCGAGGCGGGCCTCAGACGGCCCCAAGACGGCCCAAGAGGCACCCAAGACGGCCCGCGAGTGCCCTAAGAGCCCCCCCGGGAGGCCCAAAAGAAGGCCGAAGAGGCTCCGAAACGGCTCCCACGAAGCCTTCAGTGGCTTCAGAATTCCCTCCAGGAGCGGGGGAGCGGACGAGAGGCGACAGGCATATCGCAGGCAAAAACGCCCCAAGAGATCCCCAAATGGCCCCCACGAAGCCCTAAGTGGCTTCAGAATTGCTTCCGGGAGGGGGGGAGCGGACGAGAGGCGACCGGCATATCGAAGGCACAAAAAACACTGATGGACGCTCCGAGGGCCTTCGATGTTTCTCTATTGGGGAGAGTCGTCGTGGGATCGACGATTGTTGACCGAGGGCATGGAGAATCCAGCGAAAGAGGAGAAGAAGGTGGAAGAGGAGGAGGAGGAGGAGGAGGCGGAGGAGGAGGAGGAGGAGGAGGAAGCAGCATGAACCCCGAGCAGCAGCAGCAGCTGAGGAACACGGGAGAGCAGGAGGTCCTGGAAGGTGGTGGGAGCGCTTCACTGGCCACGTCGAGCTGAATGGTCGGGACGGAGTCCACAGGTCTGCCCTATTCAGCTATAATGCTGGGATCAGCGCGTGCGGGAAGGGCAAGCAGTGGCAGCGGGCCCTGGCGCGCTGAGCGGATTGGGAGGCGAAGCTGGGGCCCAACGTCATCAGCTATAGTGATGGGATCAGCGCGTGCGAGAAGGGCGATACAAGTGGCAGCGGGCCCTGGCGCTGCTGAGCGAGATGCGGGAGGCGAAGCTGGAGTCCAACGTCATTAGCTATAATGCTGGGATCAGCGCGTGCGCGAAGGGCGAGCAGTGGCAGCGGGCCCTGGCGCTGCTGAGCGAGATGTGGGAGGCGAAGCTGGAGCTAGACGTCATCAGCTATAGTGCTGGGATCAGCGCGTGCGCGAAGGGCGAGCAATGGCAGCGGGCCCTGGCGCTGCTGAGCGAGATGCGGGATGCGAAGCTGGAGCCCAACGTCATCAGCTATAATGCTGGGATCAGCGCGTGCGCGAAGGGCGAGCAGTGGCAGCGGGCCCTGGCGCTGCTGAGCGAGATGCGGGAGGCGAAGCTGGAGTCCAACGTCATTAGCTATAATGCTGGGATCGGCGCGTGCGCGAAGGGCGAGCAGTGGCAGCGGGCCCTGGCGCTGCTGAGCGAGATGTGGGAGGCGAAGCTGGAGCCCAACGTCATCAGCTATAGTGCTGGGATCAGCGCGTGCGCGAAAGGCGAGCAGTGGCAGCGGGCCCTGGCGCTGCTGAGCGAGATGCGGGAGGCGAAGCTGGAGCCCAACGTCATCAGCTGTAGTGCTGGGATCAGCGTGTGCGAGAAAGGCAAGGAGTGGCAGCGGGCCCTGGCGCTGCTGAGCAAGATGGAGGATGCAAAGTTACGGCCCAACACCATCGGGGACAGCGATGAGACCAGTGCTTGCGAGAAGGGCGAGCTGTTGCAGCGGGCTTCGGTACAGCTGGATGAGATGCGTGGGACTACGCTCGAATCGAGCGTCATCACTGAGACACGCTCGAACGGCAAAGTCAAACCCGAAGAGGCTGATCTGACATTACACGCGAGCGCTGGAACCACAGATGATCCAGCTAGGTGTATCGGACATGCTCGCAATCGTGTGTGCCCCACAGGAGTCCACGTTCTCAAGCGTCGTAACGGAAGCAAGCGTACATATAGCACCAACCATGTACGACGTGGCAGTGTAGTTACCACAGCTGAGGTTGCTGTCTCGCAGCAGTGGATTCGCAAACGATCCCCTGGCAACGTAGAGGATGCTGCGGGCGTTGGCGCTGTGGGTGGCCTGACCTTCTTCACCGATGTCGTGAAGTCTCACGTTGACGAAAGCGGCACCCTCACCAGGATAGATTTTCGCGAAGTGAAGCCGGGCGTCTCTACTGACCACATGAAGCAGGCTATGGGTGCGCTGTTCTTTATCAGTTGGGCCATCCGAGAGCGCCCACCACCGGTTCCGACGAAGCTCTTCCTTGATTTACCAGAAGATATACATGAAGAGGTACGTCACTGCTTTGAGTCACTGGGTGTTGAGATTTGCGTATGGCCAGATATGCCGACATCAGTGGCAGCATCTCCACCTGCGGAGCCCAGGGCAAGGAGGGCGAGCAGTGACAGCGGGCTTTAGCACTGTTCAGCAAGATGTGAGAATCGAGCCAATAGGCGGTCGCCAAAATTTCATATTCGCCGTGTTAGCCTGTCGCATCGCTTGAGCAGTTGCTTTGTGTGTTCGCACGAGATAGACACAACTCTGGCATGAGCGCTTTCGAGAAGGGCGAGCTGTGGCAACGGACTCTGGTGATGCTCAGCGAGATGCGGGAGGTGAAGCTGCAGCTAAACGCCATCAGCTACAGCGGTGGGATCAGCGGGTGCGAGAAGGGCGAACAGTGGTAGCGGGCCCTGGCGCTGCTGAACGGGATGTGGGAGGCGCAGCTTGAGCCCAACGTCATCTTCTCTACAATGCTGGGATCAGCGCGTGCGAGAAAGGCGAGCAGTGGCAGCGGGTGCTGGCGCTGCTGAGCGAGATGTGGGAGGCGAAGGTGAGGCCCGACGTCAGGTGACGTCTCCCCACCGCCCCACCCTCCGGGTCTCCTTCTGGCCGGGCTGCCGCCAGGCGTGCCGGCTGGTTTCGGAGGCTCTCGTCCCCACCCCCCAGGGTTGCCCTGGACCCCCGCTGTCAGTGGCAACGTTTCCTCACCTTCAGCGGCGGTTAGCTGCGACCCTGGAAGCCCACGTGGTATGGTGGATTCGACGGTGACCCTGGATCCCCGCGGGGAATGGCGGACGCGGCGGATAAGGCCGTCCCATGGTGGCCTTCGGCGTGCACCACGCGGCTGCGACAGCGCAGCTCCACCCTGGGCGCCCCACCTTGCTGGCGATGTTCTTCCCCACCAGCTTGGCCTCACGCCGCGCACGGCCCCTGGAGGCACAGCCAGCTCCGAGTGGTTCAGCATTCGCAGTTTCGGCCGCCCTCCGGGCCCACCCCACCACCAGCTTGGTATTCGGCGTTTTTTCGGCGGAGCAGCTCAGCTGGCAACACACGCCGTTGGCGCAGCTTGGACTTGGCGCCCCACTGGCGACGGCCCATCGTTTACCACGACTGGCCGCCACAGCGCGTAACACAGAATTCCCCGGCAATTTGCCGCAGGGTTGCACGTTGGTTGAGCTTCCCAGGGCGCTCCAGTTCGATCAGCCAGCCAGCCCCCCGCTGCCGCTGCCCCAGCTGCCGCGTTTGTGAGCTGGCCCGGCCGGCTCGTGCTGCGCTCAGTAGCTAATCGCGCCCTGTAGCTAATTAGGCTTGCCCGTCGGCCCGGACACCCTGCTCGCCGCCTGCGCTCTTCGCTTGCGGCCGCGACCCAAAAAAGTGCCCTCTCGCGTGTCCTCTCGCGTCCTCGGAAGGGTCATTGTGTCCTTTCGCGCGCCCTCTCCGATCACATTCGCGTGCAGGGGTTAGGGGAGGAGCCTTCTCGGACGGAGGCTGCCTCTTAGGAGGCGCGGGCCTTGTCTTTAGATGTAGGGCGGCGCCTTCTAAGGAGCGGCATCCTTCTGAGAAACCCTCCCCTTCCACTACCTCCTTGTGCGCGCTGCCGATTTCCGCACTGCTTTGGGATCCGGGGCGTGTTCCGAGGACACCTCGGGCGACTGGGGCCTCCAAGGCTTCAACAACCGTGCGGCGGCGGACAGGAGGCCCCCCCCCGCTCGCGCCGGCCCCTCGGCACAGGGCGCCGCCGAGAACAGCCGGGGCGCCTGGGGCGCCGCTGAGGACTCCTGGAAGGACGCCCCCCGGCGGCATCGGCAGCAGCGGCGCCACGGCGCGGCAGCCGCAGGCGGCAATCGGAACAGGAATCGGAGGTCCGCCTCCTCCCTCCCCCTCCTCCCCTCTCCTCCCTCCTCCTTTTTCCTTCGTCCTCTTCCTTCCTGTCGCAACTGCATTGCCGACTGGTTGTTCAGGCCACGGTCAACAGTACGAGTTTGCCTACTGCGGGTCGGCTTGTCCAGTGTTCCCGGTTTGCCAGGCGCCCTATCGATTCGCGATGTGGTTGTGTCACCCGTTTGTGTTTCGCGTGGAGAACATTATCGGCGGCCCGCGCGCATTCCTGAGATTTACGTTGGGCCCCACTGGCGGCGCCGCCGCCCCTGGCGCACAAGGACATGATTGTACTATATGTGCTCCTGGGAGGCGTGCGTCCGACCCGGACATATCATACAACCATCTTGTAGTACATCGTTTCCCAACCGGTGTTGCCAGAATGCGCCCGCCACGATGCATTTACTAGAAGATTTCTCGGTGCGCGCGTCGCTTCAGGGGGGGGGGGGAGGGGAGGGGGGGGGGGGACGCCGCACATTACTATGCTGGGCTGACGCCAGCGCTGGCAGCTTTCTGTCTTTCCAGGCAAGCGCCAGTGCCAGTTCACCATCGGCATCGAGGAGGAGCCGAGCTTCCGCGTGGTGCGCAGGCTGATCGGGGAGCACGGGAAGCACGTGAAGCGCATCGCGGAGGCGTCGGGCGCGAAGCTGCGCCTGCGGGGCCGGGGCTCGGGCTTCCAGGAGGGGCCCGAGCAGGAGGAGTCCCGCGATCCGCTCATGCTGTGCGTGAGCGCGCCGGACGAGCGCTCCTACGGCATCGTCGTGTGCCTCGTGCGCGAGCACCTCGAGGACGTCTACGAGCAGTACTGCGCCGCGCACCCCGGCTCCCGGGGCCTGCGCGTCGACCTGCACGAGGGCCCCCGCGAGGGGAGCTACTGAGGAGAGCGGGGGCCCCGAGCAACGGTGGGGGGAATCGGGGATATAGGCCCGCGTGGCCCACGGGGGGACGCATCGACCCCCAATCGTCGATGTTCCGCCGAGGGGGGCCCGGTGGCCCCACTCCGCCCATGGCCGTGCGGATTCGCCCTCGGGCGCCTATCGCCGATCGGCGGTGTATCGCCGATGCCTGGTCGATGTTCCCCCTTCTCTGCAGGTCCCCCTCCTATCGTCGGGTCTATTCCTATTCCTATTCCTCAGGATATGGGGGCGATCCCTGACGGCGATCGCGCCGCCCCGCCGCGCGCGTGTCGGCGTGCCTGACGGCACGCACAGCGGGGCGCCGAATTCGCAGGACGCGGTGTACATAGTTCTCGGTAGCTCGGCGACGCTGCCACCGCGTCCCGATGTTGCGACGGCAACGTCCTTGCCTCCCCTCGGCAGCGGTGCCGCCGGGTCGCGATGCTTCGACGCCCACCTCCTCGCGTTGTTGAGCACAGCGGGTGCTGTGCAGGGGCGAGTGCGCTCTGGCATCAAGTCTGGCTGCCCTCGAGAGGCTCCAAGGGGATTCTTTCTTGCCTTGGAGCGAGTCCTCATTTTTTTTGCTCCTCCGCCCCGCTTCCGAGGCGAGAAACACAAGGGGGCCCAGCGGAGTCGAGGGGCGCGTTGCGACTGGCGCGTGGCCCCACCTCCAAGGGAGACTTGCCGAGTAACTTCCTCATGACTGAGGTCGTCGTGGGGAGGCTGGGAGAGGTGACGAGCTCCCAGTGCCGTCTCCGAGGGACGTTGGGGGATCGGTCCTGCTGCTGCTCGTGAACCTCCAGAAGACCCCCCCGCCCAAGACCTCCAGAGAAACCCAACACCACCCCCTTAAGGGCTCCTCCGGCAGCTCCGCCTGGTGATCTGTTGATTCTGATGATGGCATGGAAGCCGTACCGCCGTTGCCTCCCTCCCCCAGGGGTATCGCCCCTGAGAGGGGGGTGATATCAAACTAGATCGGAGATGAGAGGGTGAGATCGCAGTGAAACGGAGATCCCCCCCACCGGGAAATCGGTTTCGGTTTCGTGTTCGTGTCGTGCGTGCGGGCGAGACGAAGCTGCGTGGGCGGGTGCGACGGATTAACCCTACTCTGGCTAGGGCGCCGCCAGGCCAAAAGACCGCCCCCCGCCCCCCCTGTTGTCTGTCGGTGGCCAGGGGTGTTCCGCGTGTGTCCCGCCTGGTCCGCGCGGGCCGTCGACACTTACTATTTGTGCCGTTCTTTCCTTCCTCTAAGCAGGCTCCTCCTCCCCGCTCCCCGGAATGGGGTATGCGGGCTGCCTGACTGCGTTGGGGGCCACACTTGCGGGCACGAGCGGGCGGCGCCCTGGGCAGGGCATTCCCGCCGGCCGGCAGTCGTAGCGGCGCAAGTAGTGCGCGGCGCCCGCCGCGCGGGGGCGCCCGGGAAGCCCGATGGGGCGAACTCCTGCGTGCCGGGCGCTTGCGAGGCTGCGGCCGACAGGGTCGGAAGGCAGGGTGGGCGAACGCCGGGAGCACGTGAGCCTCAAGTTCGCCGAAATCCAGCGTTCGGGCCCTTCTGTGACGGGCCCGCCCTGAGTCTTAACGGTCCAGTGTTCGTGGGATGTTTGCAGCGGGAGGTCGCGTCAAATGTCAGATTGGGTCTCGTCATTTTCCTGACGGCCCCGTCAGGCCAACCCGAGCATTCCAAACCCGAGTCCGAGAAAGAGGACACACGTCTGGCATGCGGTGCGGCGGGTCAACGGGGAAAGTTCGGGTTCTGGCCCTCCCGGCGGTCCGTGCCTGATGCGGCCGCCGGCTGCTCTCAGAAGATTACCTCCGAGATGGCGCAGGCAGATCGCAGACAAGCCTCGCCTACGATGTCGTATCGCAGCCCGCCGGTCCAGGCCGCCGCACCGTGTGCCCGCTCCTGGGAAGGAGGAGGAGAAGGTGGAGGAGAAAGAGAGAGAGAGAGAGAGAGAAAGAAAGAAAGAAAAAAGAGAGAGAGAGAGAGAAAGAAAGAAAAACAAAAAGAGAAGGACAGGCAGAGACCTGGGAGAGATCTGAGAGGCGGATGGTTTCTTATTCAGAATGGGGAGGGCAGTGGAGATGCGGGGGGAGGGGAGAGAGGAGGGGGAGGACGAACGAGAACGATGGGGGAGGACGAACGCGTATTCAAGAGGCTTACAACCTCCTGCCGTCCCCGAAAGGTGGATGCGAATGTAATTATTGACATTTCCCGTATCCCTAGCAGCTCATCCAGAAACGATGCCCAGGCCAACAGTAGCGAGAAGTGAAGAAAATAATAATGTGAAGCAGACATACCACTAGCACGGAACCTACTAACCTCTGAGGGCCTCGTGGAGTCATTTTTGAGGTCTCGTGGGGCCCAATGGGAGCCTTCAAGACCTTCTTTGGGTTTTGGGGGGCCCGACAGTTCGCCTCTGAGGCAAAGCAAAAATCGCCTTCGGGTTCCTCTTGGGATTCTCTTGGGGTGCTCTTGGGATGCTCTTCGGGGCCATCGGAGCCACATTGATACCTCAGAAGCCACTCGGAAACACACAGGCGAGAAGGCAACAATTCATTGAGCACGCGATAAGTTTCAACGGATTTCGGCCTGGTTTCCTTTGGAGTGTCCGTGGCCACTCGGAACCTTATTGGGGCCTCTTTGCCGTTTTGGGCCTTGTCTGGAGCAGTTTTGAAGTTTATCTAAGGCATTTTGGGGAGGCGTCCGAGAAGGGATTCGGAGGCTATGAGGGCCCCGGAGATGCGTCGAAGAGCTCGTTGGACCCCGCTTCTCCCGTGAATGGCATTTTGGGACTCCAGGAATGCTAACGGGGAGGGAGACAGCCATTCATCTCACACGCGTTCCCATCCCGGGCAAGCGGGAATCGGTGGATTTTTCGTCTTACGTGAGGGAACCGATGTATCCCTCGCGCTCATTGGAGGGGAGGAGCAGCAGAAGGAGCAGGAGGAAGAGCTCGTCAGATTGCTGTGCGCCGTGATAACTGACTTCCAATATTTTGCCCAGTTCTTGTTAGCTAAGCGCAGCATGCTGCCAGTTAGATTGCTGTGCGCTGAGGCGGGATTCGCAGATGAGCGCTGCAGAGAGATTGCGCCAGCCTCCGCCTCGTGCACCAGATATGGGCCGGTGAGCACACTTCTCCATCATCTTCTCATTCCCTCATTCCTCTTCCTATTCCTCCTCATCTTCCTCGTCCTTCTTCTATTCCTTCCTCTTTCTTCCCCCCGCTTCTCCTCAGATCCCCCCACACGCGTGTTTCCCCGTCTCGCTTCCTCTTTGCCCTGCCTGGCCACCCCCCTCCCCCTTCCCACCATAAGCTCTCAGAGTGGGTTGGGCCACACGCCGCGAACCCAAGACCGACATGACCACACGACGCTTTGCGGGACTTCCCCACGGCACAACCCCTAGGCCACAATGATCCCGCCATCAGCACGCCAGGCATGGCACTGTAGGCGACAAAGGGCCAACACCGACGAGGCCCGACGCCATGCGGAGTGCCCCACGGCATCACCCCTTGGCAGAACGACCCGCAAGTGGCATGCCGACATGGCAGACCCTAGCGGACGAGAGAGCCGACACCAGCAGACGACGCCCAGCAGGCCCGCCCCACGGCGGCACATATGGGCCAGCCGACCGACCGAACCGACACGACGCCAGCGGGACTGCCCCACGGCACACTCCCATGGCCACCGGCTCCACCAGCAGCACGCCAGACCAGGCACTGCTAAAGGGAAAGACCGACCAGACCGACACGACACCCTTCGGGACTGCCCCACAGCACAACTCCCTGAGCCACACCGACCCCGCCAGCAGCACGCCAGACCCGGCATTGGGGAAGGACCAACACCGCCATGCGGGACGGCCCCACGTCACGACCCTTGGTAGACTGAATGACCGATGAGACGAACTGGTGTGAAGTGCGGATGAAGACTTCAGGACAATCATCACAACCATTGACCGACAAGCCCATGCAGCCTGCATGGCAACCGTGAACATGCCCGACTAGTGGTGTGGCTCCAACTCGGGTGCTTCACTAGATCGGGCACAAAAAAAAAGACGGACGCTAAGCCCACCGACTACGTCCAGTGGGCCACGTTCAGCCAGAACAACTGGGCCACCCTGGAGGGCGGCGCCGAGGCCTGAGGCGGCCAGCGGCCCGACAGGCAGCCAGGAGAAAGAACGTCGTCCGCGGGGGAATCCAGGTTGAAATCCCCCTTCCCACCATGTGCAGTGAACCTCCCGCGTCCTCCGCAGGACTCGAGTCCCTGCGCCGTCTTGGAGTGGCATCCTCGCACCTTCGATGGACTTCGTGTCGTGTCGCTCATTCATCTCTTGTCCTCCCCCGTCCGCAGTGTTTCCTGATCGTCCTGGTGGTTGCGCTGATTCTGCCAGCCTCCAGGGAGTGGGATGATGATGATGATGATGATGATGATGATGATGATGATGATGATGATGATGATGATGATGAGGAGGAGGAGGAGGAGGAGGAGGATGATGATGGTGATGATGATGATAATGATGGTGGTGATGATGATGATGATGCTGATGATGACGATGACGATGACGATGATGATGATGATGATGATGATGTTGGTGGTGGTGATGATGGTGGTGATGATGATGACGATGATGATGATGATGCTGATGCTGATGATGATGATGATGATGCTGATGCTGATGATGATGATGCTGATGATGATGATGATGATGATGGTGATGAGGATGATGATGAGGATGGTGGTGGTGGTGATGATGGTGGTGATGATGATGATGATGATGACGATGATGATGATGATGATGATGATGATGATGATGATGATGATGACAAGACGAAGGGGCAGGGTGGTGGGGGAGTTGGAGGAGCAAGGAGAAGACGGAGAAGGATTGAGATGGAGGAGGAAGAGCAGGAGGAGGAGGCTGGACATCTTGCCAGAAGAGTGCTCCAGATGGGTTTCAGGGACCAGTATCAACGGGATCCTCCAGACCGTGCCTGGGAGTGAGAACGTCGAGATGAGGGCGGGCGACCGCGACCGGTCCTTACACCCACTGGCCGGTTCCGCGGTGCGAATTCTGGTCGAGCATGCATTCTGGAGAAGATTCCAACGCGGTCAAACGGGGGCGCTCTCCTCCTGGAGATCGTTCCTTTCGTCCTTTTCTCCTTCTGCTGCTTCCCCTCATCCTCCTCCCTCTTCTGTCTTCTCCTGCTTCTCCTCCTCGTCCTCCTGCTCCTTCTTCTCCTCCTGAGCCGCCTTCTTCTCCTATCCTCGGGGGAGGTTGGGAGGCTGCCTGGCCCGACTGGACCGCCAGAGTGAAAGGCCCGGCCCGACGCTCCGCGCCACCAGCCTACCCCCTCGAGACGAGAACGGATGCCGCGAAGCTCGACGCAGACGGCATCCATCCCCACCCAGGGGGGTGGTCGGGCAGCGGGGCCGATGCTTGCCTGGTGGGGAAGGGAGATCGGCCTAGCGGTGCTGACCCCGTTACGCCCAGAGCAGGGTCCTCTTTCAGCGAACTTCGCTCTCCTGGCAGGGCCCATTTCGATCCGATCGATTAGTGTCGATGCCGAATTCGGCCAGCTCGATCCGATTCGATTCCGATGTTTTGACGACCCGATGCGGTCCGATGTTTGTATGGCGTTGTTGTGGATCCTGGCGCAGTCGATCCGGCGATTCAACCTCGATTCCGTGCAGATGCGGCCCGATCCAAATAATCCAAAGAACATTCTGATTCGATCCGATTTTCCAAGTCGATGCTGGCTGATCTTGCCCTGGTGCCGTTCCCGCCCAGCCCGCCTCTTCCCTCCCGCCTCCTCGACCGACATCAGTCCCTGCCTACTTTGAACAGGAATGGCTGTCGGTGTCGCTGCGGACATTGTCCATTTCAGGCAAAACAATTGCCTGCCGAACAGCGGCCGCTGTCGATTTGGGACATCGTTGGCCGTGGGGTATCTACCTTTTTCCCCCGTGCCCCTTTCTGGCGTGCCAGCTGTGGGTGCGGTCGCTTCTGAGCCCTTGCCATCTGAAGTCTCCAGCGTCTTGAAAGATGCAAGACGTGCTTTTTCACCACACCAAACGGTGCTTGCACTGATGGAGGGGTTCTTGCTTGTCTGTCGGGTTGTTGGGTGGGTTCCACGAGTTTTCGCCTGGTGGGCGCCTCGTGGACGGCGCGTGGGCGCCCCGCGCGCTGATTGGGTTATTCGGGCGTTGGCCCGGTGAGCGTCCGTGGGCGCCTCGTGAGCGCCCCGTGCGTTGCCTGGCGCTGTTGCAGCCACTCCTACCGCTGGCTGCTACGCTTGCACCGCATAGCTTGCACGACTGATAAACACACATTCGCATCTATGTACATACATATGTACATATGTCGGCGGTGCCCCGTGGCACGAACCCCCTCCCCCGCCTTCCCGGGGAGTTTTTGTACAGGGCGCACCGGGTGCCGCCGACGACCTGGAACCCCCCCTCTCCCTCTTTCCCAGGGGGGGTTGTACCGGGCGCACCGGCGCCGCCCCCCCC